GCTCCACTAAAGTAGATCATATTTGCTCATTTTAATGCTGCTTACGTGTAAACAATGCCTTATTAATCTTCAGACTTATCTTATGGATAAATACAAACCCTCCGCAAATCACAGGTAAGTAAAAAAAAAATTTGAATCCATCATTGTAAACCTAGAGTAGTAATCGAAGGTATAAAGGCCAAGATGGTGTGGCCTTTTGTGTGGTCGCAGTCCCCCTTCGTTGTATGGAAGTTGTTTGACCATATTTTCGCAACTCGGTCATATTGGTAGGAAGACTTAAAGGAACGCACCTAGTCCGGAGTCCATTGTATGCAGCATCGTTTCCAGAGTAGGACCGTGGACGTGGTACATTCCCAGACGTTTCGCCGGCATCGCCAGTATCGCCACGTCGCAACTTGGTCATATTGGTAGGAAGACTTAGAGGAACGCACCTAGTCCGGAGTCCATTGTATGCATCAAGAAGTTGTTTGACCTTGTTTTCGCAACTCAGTCATATTGGTAGGAAGACTGATAGAAACGCACCTTGTCCTGAGTCCATTGTCTGCATAATTAGAAACTCGGTCATATTGGTAGGAAGACTTAAAGAAACGCACCTAGTCCGGAGTCCATTGTATGCATCATCGTTTGGTCATAATGGTAGGAAGACTGATAGAAACGCACCTTGTCCTGAGTCCATTGTATGCATAATTATTTCTTTTCGCAACTCGGTCATATTGGTAGGAAGACTTATTGGAACGCACCTAGTCCGGGGTCCATTGTCTGCATGATCATTTCCTTGGTCATTTTGGTAGGAAGACTTATAGAAACGCACCTTGTCCTGAATGGTCACATTGGTAGGAAGACTTATTGGAACGCACCTAGTCCGGGGTCCATTGTCTGCATGATCATTTCCAAAGTAAGACCGTGGACGTGGTACATTCCCAGACGTTTCGCCGGCATCGTCAGTGAGTATCTCCATTCTTAGCACCAATGGTAAATTCTCAGACGTTTCGCCGGCATCTTAGTCGGCATCGCCATTTGTAGCAAACTCGTCAAAGGGACAAGTGAAGCCCATTCCTTGACCAAACGTGTGCTAAACCGTTATGGTATCTTTCCTTCTGCCCTGGCCTATTCACATTTCCTATATCCTCCTATCATGCCTTCTCTGTCACAGTTTTTACCGTACGACACTACATTAAGAATAAGCACGGCAAAAACTGTGACAGGGAAGGCATGATAGGAGGATATTGGAAATGTGAATAGGCCAGAGTAGAAGGGGAGATAACATAAC